TGCCCCTCGCTGCTCGCGACCCATGCCGATTCCGATCGAGCTCGTCGCGAGAACAGCGCACACCCGCACCGGATCCCCGACAGGCGAACGATCGAGGGACCACGGAACGCGACGGTCTCTGATCGCGGACACGCTCGAAAGCTGCGCGCTCGTCGGACTCCGATCGAGGTACGTTCGCGGAGAGATGAAGCGCGTCGGTTGCAGGACCAACGAGGATCGGACCGCGTATTTCTCGTCCGCTGGATCGGCTCGGTGATCAGATGTTGCCGTGATCCGTTCACGCGGATGTTGCCCGGCATTGGACCGAGTAACTCCACTGCGTCCTCGCGATAAGTCGCGTTTCACGCTCGATTTCCGGCTCGACGAACGCTGCCCGCGGAATCGGAGCAGCGCGCCGGTGTCCTCGAGACTCGTGGAGATCGACGATCGAAGGTTCCAGGCGCGTTTCGAGTGCGATCGAACGGTTTAGATCGCGGAGTCTCGCGAGTTCCGGCCGCTTCCGGAGGACTCGCACGGCTCGACTGCATTTGTCCAGTTCGTAAACGAGTTTAAGTACGCGCGGTTGGTCGCGGATAGTTCCCGAGTTGCCGGGAAGTTCGCGAGAAGTGCGACTCGTTCTTTTCCCCGAAAGAAAGACGAAAGGGAGGCCTTCGTCGGCGGGTCGAGTCTCGAGGCGATCTGCCGGCGGCACGGGACGCGACTCGCCTCGACGTTCGGAAACGGTAAGGCGGATCGATCGAGGAGCACCGAAGAAAAATGGGTAAATCGAGGAGACGACTGTGAACATCCGCGCGAGGAGCGACGCAAAGCCAGGGCGTCGTCGATGCGACGGACGACGAGCGAGTGCGTGCGTGGCTCTCGAAGAATGTGCGTGACTGACGGAACGCGGCGGTCCGGTCCGCTTTTCTCGTCGACGGAGGGCTCGGAATCGTCGGAAGGGACGGGGATCTCGAACAGTGAATGTTTTGTCACGGTTGGTGCGCGTTTACGTGGGCGATCCGAGCCGCCGCGAACGTTTCAAGAGATAGACCGAGCCGCTCCGTCTATCCGAACTCGTGCCCCATGCGCTTTAGTCCAGCGCGAATAAAACCGCACCGTTCGATACCGGTTTGCCGTTTCTGGCAGTCCGTTGCGTACAGGTCCGCCTGATTTTCGCCTGGGAGTACGTCGAACTTGCGGTTCCCATTAGCCGCATCCGTTCCTCTCTTCGTCTGTTCGTCTGTTCGTCTGTTCTTCCGTTCGCTGGTCGTCTCTCGGACGCAGCGTCGAACGATCGGTCGTGTGCCGACGGCACACAGTGGACCAAATCGTCGGACGCTGAGTGTTCGACGGGGAAATCGTAGTATCGTACTACTTTTCTACTTCCACTGTTATCGTGGAACAGATGTTTATACTGATTTCGTAACGCGACACCGTATTTTGTATAAAATTCGGTAAACTTCGTTTGAAAGTCGGAGAACTTGAAATATTCTGTAGATTTTCGTTAGCGAAGGATTATCTCTCTGATTCGCGTTGGAGTAGCTTTTAACGGTGTCTCTTTAATGCGGAGTAGAAGTAGTAACGTTTTTCTTGTTTCCTTTGTCAAATTACTTTATCGCATTTCCAAATCTCCTTAAATTAAAGAGCTTGTCCCTGTTTGCCTGGAAATTCAAACATATCTCAGTTCTAAGATACTTCCGATCCTCCTAGGTTCATAACTGCGATCTACTTTATTTCTATGTCTTTTCTAATCCATAATACTACAAAATGCCGCCGTCATTCGCTACCTAAACCTCTTTGAATAAAACACCATCGTCGTCGGACTCGATTACGTCGCTCCATTCGAAACAACAAATTTCCATTCGCGAATCCACAAAACTTCTCTTCGGACGTTTCAGTTGTTTGCGCGGCGGAGACGGCTCCGAAACGCTCCGAGAGCCTCCCGCGATCGGTAACTCGATCGACTCGCGTACGATCGATGTCCCGTCTCCCTCGCAGTAATTCCGTGCTCGATTCGATTAATCGGGCCACGCGATATCGGCTGTTACTGCCGCTATTCGCGCGTCGGAGTCGCTTATTGCTTCTGAACTCGTTACCGTTACGTTCGACCTCCGAAACGAAGCAGTCCCGTTTGTCTCCGGTCTTTTCGCACTCCACAGGCCTCGCGATCGCGATCGAGAACGACCACCGGTCAGGTTGGGCAAATCGGACGAGCAGTAAAACGTCCGCGTTGCCATTCCCGTAACAAGATTACCCCGTCGACCAAAAAGCTGCGACAGCCGCGTTCAATTCTCTCGATTTCCGATCCTCGACTTCGAAGCAAACGCCGGCAAATCGAATCGACCGGTTCCATGCACGCGAGACTAGAGATCGACGCTTCCGTCGGGATCGGATCGAAGTTCGTCCGCTTTCGAACCGACGAGAATCGATCTCCGCGTTCGAATTCGAATCTGCGAGACGATCGCGCGCTCGCAAACGAACATCGGTATTTTTCAGATCGCGGAGGTGCGACTCGCGTTTCGGACAGCGACGTGAGGCGCCGTCGGGAGCCGATCGCGCGAGCCTCGGCTCGGTTCCGTGCCAAAGTATTTTCCGAAGGAAACGAGTGCCAAAGAATTCCGGGGCGAGCCGACCGCTGCCGGAGGAGCCGTCGATAAGCGAGTCGACCGTGCGGAACGAGAAGAGGAGCGAGAAGAGCCGGAGCGAGACGCGCGAAGGATGAAACCGGCCGTTCCATCGAAGAGGAAGCGATCGTGGTAGGCGGAGGGCGGCATAGACGTGGATCGGGCTGGATCCGTGTCGATCGGTGTAATGGTCTCGGGGTGGTGTCCGTGCGTGCCACTCGGCCGCCGGGAATCATCGGTCCAGCAGCAGTCGGCCTCCTCGTCGAGGTGTTTCGGGAACGACGGTGCACCGTTCACCGTCAGCGCCGCGACGGATCACGCAGAGATGGTCCAGATGTTCTACTACGAGAATCGCGGCAAATGTTGCAAGAAGCTGCTCCGGTACAACGGATATCCCAACAAGGTAGGTAAGGCTTCAGCCTCCTCTTCCCTCTCTTCTGTCTTGTCTTCGAAGACGCCGCGTATCGAGGATCAAGACTCGATTCGTTTAGAGTTCAAAGATATTCGCACGATCCACGGTTGTCCAGTAGGCGACTCGATAGATTCGATACACGCGTCGGAGAAAGCGAGTAGCTAGATCGAGGCTATTTCGGCTTGGTCCTACAAACCTACGAGTCCCCAGAGTTCACTCGTCGGGTTCGTCTAAGACTCGTCGACGACTCAGGGCAACTCGAGCGAGCCGTGTTCCGCGTATTTGCCCGGGAAACTGCCACCGAATCCGAATCCTCTTCAGCCGTGCTCGCGATCGCCGGTCTCTCTCGAATCTCGCCGAGGCGCGAACGTTTCGCGCTACTCGGGCAAAGTTGCCGGAACTCCGACACACAGGGACGCGAGGAAAGGAAGAACCGTTCCAAGTTCACAGCTCGAGAGGCTCGAAGTTTCCGGAAGGCCCCGGGGAAATAAATCGATTCGCTATCCGAATAGCCATTATGCGGACGTGGCTCCGAGGCGAGCGAGGAGGACGAGAAGCCGGCGGATCGGGACGCGCTGGCACGGTATCCGCCGGACGAAAATCGCGCGGGGACAGGGGACGCTCGCGGGGGAGGCAGAGATCGAGGGAGAAGGGGAGCGAAGTCGATGCCGGAGCCTTATCCCGAGCAACCGGGCTAACGGCTCGGAGTTTCGAAACTCGCGTCGCTCGTAGTTTTCTTTCAATAACCGAGTTATTATTCATCCGACCATTCGGTGCCCTCCTCCGAGCCGTGGGGGTCTTCCTTTATAGCTCCTCGGTCTCGGCTCGCGATTCCGACGTTGCTCGAACTTCTCCTTTGCCCGAATTTCTCGCGGCTGAGACTTCGCTGAAGGGCCTACGCGAGGGATCGGCTGTTACGCGATTTTGCTTTCTATTCGATTGACGTATTTACCTGAGACGACTGTGTAAGGATTTTCAAATTGAATTTTGTTTATTGGGAGTTTGTATAGAGTAATAGATGCGAGCAGAATTAAGATATTTCAATTGAAAGAAATGTGTAAGGGATCAGCTGTTACGCGATTTTGCTTTCTGTTCGATTGACGTATTTACCTGAGACGACTGTGTAAGGATTTTGAGATTGAATTTTGTTTATTGGAAGTTTGTATAGAGGAATAGATATGAGGAGAATGTAGGATTATGGATGTTTATGGGATGTGGCAATTTTTGAGGGGTTACTGTTTAAGATATTTCAATCGAAAGAAACGTCGAATAATAGTTAGTGCTTAGTTCTGCTTTACGTATTTCGTGAATGTTAGTGCACTTATTAGAGCGGAAGGTATTAAGGGTGGTTTTTAAGAGAGCTGGAACATGGTTAAATAAGGAAAGATCAATACTCTTTCCGTGCAGAGAACAATTTATTTTCAGTATTCGACAATAGAATCAGATTCAATAGAATGAAACAAACGGAATAAACGGTAACATTGAAGCCATTATAAAAACAGAAATACCAGTAAAACTACGGTAAATAAACCAAAATTAATATAGCTTTTTGGCTGAACAAAGGAACGCGATATGGATCGAGCTTCTATGGTACACTCCTTAAGGAGAATAGGATCTAGCATGTTCATCGATCAGACCGTCGCGCTGTCCAGCCGAGGATCATTCCACTAGCTACTTGTGTATATTCCTCTAACAAAATACAATGGACATCGCGTTCCACTCTCCCACGAAACTACATTGACCCATTCGCTGCCAAGTCTATATTATATGAAGCTATTCCCCTCGCCATTTATATTTCGAGTGGTATTGCTTACCAAAGTTTTGTTATTTCTTGGTAAAATCACATATATTATCATACATAATCATGCATAAAATCAAAGACGAGTATACTCGTCGTTGGCAATGCGCAGGCAACAGGACTCGACTCGAAATTTGCTTATTCAAGCCTGTATGTTATAACATATCGAAAATAGGACGAGTGTACTCTGTGGGCCGAATTTTTGTTCGTACTATAACGAAATCTCAGTACAAAATTAATAAATATCCACATATGAATACGAATTAACAATGTATTCGATACTTCCAATAATTTCATCGAACGAATATATTTCGTCACTTTCAAGTTACAGTGACGTTAAACCTTCACGCCTGAATGTATGAATGTTAATTGATTACTTAATTTTATTCGCCGCTTTGAGTGCAGAACGATATAAATCAACAAGATGCCAATATACTGATGTGTGACTTCAAGGTTACATGGGCCTACGGAGTGTTAATTTCCCTTCGCTTATAATTACTATAATTCCACATCCACCATAATTCCTGCGCAACGTGGAATTTATTAATCGCTCGACCACGCTGCTCGTCTCTCCCGCATTGTCCACAGCGGAGGAATCGAGACTGCGTCCGTCGTGGTCGAGAAACCCGTAGCGTCGGTGGTTCCGATAAAGAGGAGCGCTGTTTAGCTCGTGAATGGTCTAGGTAGTTCGACCCTTCCGACTTTCAGTGTCGCAGACGGCCTTTACGTCGCGTCGCGACGGCGCGATTAAAGATATCCGGATGAAAGGGTCTCGCTTCTTTCGCGGCAGCTTTCTCTTTCCCCGCGGATCGCGCCGAAAGGAAAACGTCTCGCGGGATCGGCGGAAGAAAGAGCCGAGCGGAAGCTCGTGCCCTCGCCGAGCTGCAATGCGCCGCGGTCGACCTGCTGCGACCCGGCGAGTTCAAAGCGCGCACTGGACCAACGCGGCTCCTCGCGTTTACCCGCTCGTTCGCTCGTGGTTTATCGTTCCCTCGAACGACGTTGCGTTCGGTGAGTTTTCGGGGCTATCGAATTTTCTGTTTGATCGACGACGCGACGAGAGCTACCGGTTAGCGGTGCCGACAGCTGAGAATGCTTGAGAAATCGAAGGGAACTGTGACGTTTGCTACGGGGCAGGTCGATTGTCGGGTAGTTCTAGTCCTGGTTGAAGTTTAATGTATGGTAGGAGGTCGAGGGAACAGAGATGCTTCCCGTCGCGCGTAGTTAACACCGTGAAATGGAAACGGGAGAGCTTGTTTTCGTGTAAACACGTAGCTTTGATACCTATCGTTGAGAAGGATATTGAATTCTATTGGAACTGACTTTACAGTCGTTTTTAAGTTAGTCACGGGATAGTAAGATGTTTGACTAGTTTACATATAGAGAAACGAGTTGATTTCGTTGAAAATTCATGTATCCCAGTTTTCTAAAAATTCAGTGTGCAATGTGTTAACTGTATTTAGCCGAATGGCGTTTGTCCTTGTTCAGGGAGATCTGCTGTTTTCGGGGAGATCGGAGAAAAATATGGAGACAGGATGATGGTGGAGGACGTAGGTGCTATATAACCGATAGTTTATTCGCGACAATAGCAATGACAGCAGCAGCGATAACGACAATAATTAGAACAGCAATATTAACGCTGATACCAACAACGATGAAGCTGATGGCGTCGATTACAATCTTAGTACAGTGACAATATCAACCGGAAAACTCGAAGATCTCCGCGCTTAGAAGCAGAAACTTTCGGATTCGTTCCGAATCGAATAAAGTTCGCTCGACCCGATGTCACGCTCGCTTCCGGCGCGAAGGAGTACACGTATCCGTCGATCGCGCAGGATCTCCGATCGAATCGGATAATCGTGTCGCGGCGTTCTCTCGGGCACGCTCTCTCCGGCCATAACGCGGTAACGCCGCCGGACGTGGCTTCCGTCGTCCGAAGCGTGTACGTACGGCACATATATCGTTCGCGCGCGATCGATCGTTACGGCGCGGCAACGCGGCGATACGCGCGCGAACGAGATCCGTCTCGACGAATAAATAAAGCGAACGGCGCGATTAGACGGAGGACGACGGGTAGCGGAGACGCGGGAGACGAGCTTCCGTCGAAACGTGGGACGAGAAGAGGACGACTCGCGAGTCGCCGCGGAAGGAGCAGGGGCGCGCGAGGTAGGATTCGAACCGGAGGTAGGAGAAG